ATAGCAAAGACGGAGCTGTCATGTCTTCCCAGATGTGAGGAAACCTCCCTGCCTCTTTACTGACATCTGTTGCCTGGGACATGACCCTTGTGAGGGAGCCGGGTATTGTCCTGACCTCCCTCCGCATCTTGGTCTGCCTGCTCTTCCCACAGGGTGCTGGTGGAGGACGGGACGGGTGAAGCTTTGGTGCTGTGCAGGAACCAGCACGTGGCGGCAATGCTGGGCCTGAGCCTTCTCGAGTGGGAAGCTCTGCAGAACTGTGTGCAGAGCAGGGGCAGAGTGTGCATTCAGCATGGGGAAGCTACCGGCACGGGGGTGAGTGGGTTATTCCGGTAGTGATTGCAGCGTGCTGGACTGGATTTCCCTTTGCTGTGGGTGTTCCAGTGGCTCCCAGCCTCCTTCGGCACATTCACTGGCAACACAACCTTTCTTTCCTCAGTGCGTAGAGGAACCTGAGGATCTTGTTGCTTGCTACCTAAGGAGCCTGTGCAGGAGTCCTCTTGTCTGTCGCCCTATCCTGCTGGATTTCAGCCTAGATAGGAAGCCCTCCAAGATCTTGCAGCCTGGTAAGCAAGCACTGTTGATGTTGGTAATAGTTAGCCTGGGAAGGAAGGGAGGAGCCGTCTCACCAGGCTGAGGAAGGAGAGCTGCCTTCACTGCCCCCAGAGAAAGACCTTTGAAGGATTTCCATGGAATTGTGAATTCTGTAGCATATAGTTAAGATGTGTCTTAGCAGAACTATGGTTACAAAAATACAGAAATAATATTATAAAAGTCACTTTATACAGCAACATTATATCTGAATTTTTCTTCTCTACACAGAAGCATAAAAATAGTATTGAATTGTCCGTGTAGTTGTGGTGAACAACTTGGAGCTTCTCCATTTAAATTTTATATATAGTTCCAGGAAAACATATCAGCTAAACAACCATGATAGTAATTGTTCTAAGTAGACACTGAGGGTGCATGGGGGGGTTGTTGTGTATGTGTGTGTGAGGTAGTGGTGGTGGGAGAGAACATGTTTTATTAGCATTCCCCTTTTCCCCTCCCATTCCCTAATATTAAGGTACAGGTTTATTTCTGTGGGGTGCCTCTTAAACACAAAGCTTTCTGGTTTAGAGCCAGGTTCCCAGTCCTTGGATGGGACGGGGTTCTGGCCAGCCAGAGCTACTGTGCAGACCTCTCAAATCAAGTGGTTTTGACTTTAGACAGGACAGCAGGTAGAGACGAGACTAGGCCTGGAAATCCTCACCACGGCCACAGAATTTAAAGCACTGAAGAGTTTCAAATTCATGGGTGATGATGCCTGATGTCTGAGCCCGTGCTGCCACAACTGTGCGGTTGCTGCGTTAAGGGGACATTCTTCTTAGCTGCCTGCACTAGCGCTTGAGTACAAGTCCAGGTGCTGCCAGGGTTGATTTGCTAAGCTCACCAAAGGATGCTGTGCTGTGGAGATGCTATCTTCTGGCTAGCGTGTAACACCGTCTGTAAGGCCAGGTTGCTGATAGTGAGAAAAGATAGTGAGAAAAACCCAGTGCATCAGCTCTGTGAGCAGCATGTAGTTCAGTGTTGCACAGTGTAAAATGTCTTTTTCCTCCAAGTTGGAGGGATGCTGGCCAAATGCATTCATCTGCTTACATCCTGGATTCATTAATTGTCCTGTCCTTTGAGGTTTAGCAGATGCCAAGCCAGCTGCTGCCAGGCCTTCCCTCCCCCAGCAACTTGCACAGCTGCATGCTGGAACAGAGCAGGAGCTCTGTACTGAGTTGTTACAGGTTGTATCTTTCCCCTTCAGCTCCACTGCAGCTGAGAAATTTTCAGTGCGGTGAAGTGGAGTTTGTGTCGCAAGTGGGACCCCGGCCGAGCCTGCTGTGCCTGAACGTGGAGGAAGTGGAACAAGAAGCCTTAAACTGTCTGAACAGCGAGAGGATTAGGAGGACGTCTGGTCACTGCCAAGTGGGAGCCACTGCTTAACACGCCTCCCAGTGGGAGGGGAATTACGGAAATTCCTTACTGGGATTGGGAGGTTTTTTTTTAATCTCCTTGCCAGTGGGAGCATGGGCCCTGCGAGCACAGGGTGAAGGGTGTAATCAAGAAGCTGCTGTGACCTGTGGAATTCCTGAATGGTCATTCTGGACCATTGCCACCAGCACTACTGGGCTACATTTTGGCAGAGAGATGTTCAATACTTCCTATGTGACAGCGGTTGCTTTGGGCCTAGGGCACACAATGTGTGTATTTTATATGGTAGTATCTACTAAATAAAGCTATTAAAATACAGTTTAAATAACACCGTATCTATTTTAGTATTAGGGTTTACCTGCTATATGGGGATTGAGGCAGAATGTGGATCCTTTGGTTTATGAGCCAGAGCCAGGCATTTTGCAGATCATTCGCTGTCTTCATGTGAAACTGTACAGTTGCCACAAGGGATAATCATCTTAACCCAATGGAATTTATTAAATTTATGTTCTTAAAGCATTTCCTTCCTCCAAGGAAAAAATGGTTGTGAATAAGTTACTGGTTGGAAACTAAATCACAGGACTATACGAGCATTGTTTTGCAGCTTGAACAGTGGCCTGAACGTTATGTGGGGCTGGTAGCAAGAGGAAGGCAATGAGCTGTGATGATAATTTCACAACGTGCTCCAGGCTTGCCCATCTGTTCCTGGCTGGGAAGGGGGTGAGTGCAGTGGCACGTGCCAGTGCCCGTGGTGGCACGGCAGACTAACCAATACAGCACATGGGAGATCGGCGTTTGAAGAGATTCCTTTCCCAGCTGCTTGCAGTGATGACCAAGTGCTCTGCACTTGCTTTTGACGAAATAACATCCAGATCCTTCATCTTGTGCTATAGGTCAGTAAATTCCACACACAATTACTTCCCCGCCATATTCCGCTGTGCAGACAGCGTATTTGAACAGCTACTCTGTTTGGGGGGTTGGTTTGTTCAGTGTTTCCCCCTGCCTTTCCCCTTTCACCCTTAGTTTGAGCCTTACATTAAACTTCAGGTGGTGGGTTTATGGAGCACATGTAAAATAGCTTCCTTCTCAGGGCCTGCTGGCCGCTTTGAAGACCGAAGCATGAGTGGCACAAGATTTGACAGATGCCACCATTCAACAAAGTTCTGGGACTCCATGCTTAAGAAGGTTTCCAAAACAGCTTAAAGCAAAGGTCTACACAAGTTTTGCTGTGACAGTCTTTTTTTTTTTCTTCTGTAGGCGCTTTCTGTGAAATGGTAACAATTTTACTGAAGCTTGCCCCCCACCCTCCCCAAAGGAAAAAAAAAAAAAAAGCAAACAAAAAAAAAACCCAAACCCTCTCAGCCTGAGGAAAATGTTGACTCTAAGTGATGTAAATTAAGAGATCAAAATCTGACTTAAAAGTGCAACTGAAAGTAGTCCTGTAGTATGAATAACATAGTGCTACAGAAATAGATAGGAAATGCCAGGCGACAGAGACTTATTTAAAGACAAAACAGGCAAATGTTCTCTATAGTTGTAATTATGTTTAATAACTGCCTTTACTTCTGAAGTTGAACTTCCCAGTAGTATCCTACCACTCTCCCTCTTTTCCTCCTCATTATGTATGTTATTCTGTCTGCTGCCACACTCACTACTCACCTCTTCCTCTTCTATTTCACATCACAAATGCAACCATCGGTCCTCATACAGGCTCTTTGCCTTTGCCACGCCAAAGACCTAGCCCTTATTCCAAGTCTGTTGGCCATTTTCTAATCCATCAGTGTTTTGCCATTCACAATATCTTCTTCAGAAGGGGAGTTTGATTATAGTCTTCTGAGCAGACTGAATAGACTAACTGGCTCTCTTATTTACAGTTTTATTAGTACATTCAGAGAATCACAAGGCGGGAGAGAGACAAATCAAATCTGGTTTGAGGGAATTAAGATTTGCTTGCTTTTAGTATTCTGAGTTCGAAGGACCAGTTCTCAGACTTATTGCAGGAAACCCTTTTCCTGTTTGTCTCTGAGCTTCTGCCCATGATCAGAGTTCTGGTCACTGGATTACTTCAGACAACAGAACACGACTCGTTCCTTCGATCAGTTTCCCCTTTATTTGTGCAACTCTCCTTATCGGGTTCCTCGCTCTTTTTCTGAAGCCAAGCAAAGTGTCCTGTTGTTGGCAGGGTTAAGAAATTAATAATAATACAAGAGCGAAAATCAGCTGACTTAATGTTTGTGCTACTGCATGCTGTGGGATGAGGAGGAGCTCTTCAAGTTCTCAGCCCGAGAGGGAGGAAAGCATGCAGCGTGTCCTGCCATCAGGGTAGCTGCGTAAGTGTTCTGCCTGGAAAGACAGAGATGTTCCTTTTAGCTGATTTTCTGTAGCTCTCCGCTTCATCACCAGTTTACCTCTAGAGCCTACCACCCAAAGCCAAGGCTGATGAATACTGAAGGCAGTTGTCCCATGCTCTGACTGTCTATGGCCCTCCCTACTCCAGGTCTGGGCGGGATCACTCAGGCTGGCAGCTCCCTCTCGCCCTCTTCAAGGTCCCCACTAGGTACTATTTACTGAAGGTGCTGCACCGGGCAGTGGAGCTCTCGGAGTAAAGCGGGTGCAGGCATGGGCCGTACTGCAGCAGGCCTGATGGGGAGGGAGAGAAGAAAGTCCATGCTGCCTTGCAGCCATGAGCTGTAGCCGAGGTTCAGCGAGTGCGCAGAGCAGCAAGCGAGACATCTTGTCTCTCGGGTCAGAGGGAAGGTTGAGGAGGAAAGGAAAAGAGAATACGGGGATGAGGAAGAGATGGCAGTCAATGGTGTAAGAGAAGAATCTCTCAAGTTGCAGAAAGTGATGGGAGAAGCCAGCGGGGCAGCCTGTGGGAGGGACAAGCCATGGGTCCCACCTAAAGCTGGGGCTGGGAAAAGGATGGGCACAGGGCAAAGACATATCCTCCCATTCTGGCAGGCTTGAGGTAGATCGGCTGGCGGATACTTACCCTAAGCATGTATGCTTCCGAGTTTCCCTTTCCAAGCTTACCTCCAGGTCCAGCAGCATTTCAGATTGATTGTTTTACAGAGGCTTTATATTGACAGCAGGTACAGGGGAAGCAGGAGCATCCACTGAGAGGCTGGAAGGGCAGAGGACAGTGACTCTGCACTCAGGTTCACCAGCTGCAAGTTCATTCCCCTTGTAACGCTGAAATCTGTAGCAGAAGAACAGTGAGAGGCTACCAGAATGGGGAACCCAGCAGGGAAGGCAAACCAAGCGTGTGTGTATTTATTCCTCCCCGGTTTTCTGAATATTGATAAAGATGAGTCCCTGCTATGAAGCCCTCGTTGTAGAAGAGCTATGACCCTTCTCACATAGAACAGGAAAAGATATCCGAGCTTTTTGGAAAGTTTGCTTTCCTGTGAATAAGGTGGCCTTTTATTTAAAGGGGGTGGGCTGGAGTCAGAGAGATTGTCGTTAGTAACAGCTAAGGGGGCCTACTGGTTTGGTACACAAAAGGGATCTAAGCCGAACTGGCTGAAAAAGAGTGTCAAAAGTTGGGGTTTGTGGTTGGTTGTTTTGGTTTTGGTTAACATTCAAAGGAATACATTCCTTTGAAGTGTGTCCTTCCTTCTTTCCCGTTCCCTGGCAGTCCTGTCCCTGTGCCAAGGGAGCAATCGTTACCATGAAAAACGGGACCAGACACAGACCCTTTCCTTCATCCCAGGGACAGAGAGAGAGGTGCTTGGAATAGCCACGGATTTCAGTTCCTTCCTTAACTAACACAGGTGCTGCAGGAGCCCCCCTGACGTACACAGGCGCACTGTTTAAACTCTCTTCTCCCCCGCGCCTGTGGTCTCTGGGTGGTGTTAAACTCTACCTGTCACTTTGATGTTGCCTGTAGCCTTGGCAATGTTGTTTTCAATCACGCAGGTGTAGGTGGTGTTAGCAGTAATGTTGTGCAGAAAGGAAACCACTTTCAGAGTGATGTTTTCAGCATTCAGCTCGTAGCTGGTGTTGGCAACGTGGGGTAGGTATTCCCCGGCATCGCTGTAGGCTGTCCAGCGCACAGCGGGTCGAGGGAACCAGCGTGGTGCTTCGCACTGCAGCGTGTCCCCGCTGCTGCTGTTCTCCACGTGGACTTTGGGGGTGCTGAAGGCTTTGGGAGAGAGTCAGAAAACGGCAAGTGTTTAGGAACTGGGCGTGAAACACCCAACTGCATCTGCCAGTCGGTTCCAAGTATTTCTAGAGTACCTGCTGCTCAGCATTGCATGTAGCCAAACCAAACCAAGAGGCTCAGAGAAAGGTCTGTATAGGTTGGGCTACAGGGGGATGACTGCAGGGGATCTAAAGACTCCTTAGGACAAGGCAGTCAAGTTTGACAAGATCTGCTGAGGTCATGGCACAGTTTTAAGTGTCTAAGTAATACTGCTTAACTGTTAGGAGTTGGGTCCTGGGCTCATACACTAATTTTTAAACATAAATTTCCGAAGAGCTCCTGGACTTCCAAGCTCCCAGAGGAGACTGCTCGGGACCTGGCCGGTCTGGTGCTGCCCATCTCTGCTGAATGTCCAGCTTCCCCAGGCAGGAACTGCGGCCGGCACAGCTCTGCTTGCTGCTGCTGAAGGCAGCTGAAAGGAGGCGCCTGCTATTCTCAGCAGGGAGAGGCATGCCAAAAATGATTGCTATTATCAGAGGCCAGGGGAAGGGGAAGATGACTCACCCTCTCCGATGACTGAGAAGGGAGCCTGACCAACACCTACAGCTTCGTGATGTGACTGACGCTAAATGGGGCTGCAGTCAAGAGAAGCTCCATGCCTACCTGCTGTGGCTGAGGGCAGCCTAAGGTGTGGCCTGAGCAGAAGGATTTATGCCAGCATCCTTGGATTAAACAAACTGTTTAAAGCCCATTGCAAACTCAGCTGTGTTTGAAAGCCAAGGCCATCTCAAATAAAACTTTGTCAGTCTCACTCTTCTAGGAAAACATACCTCTCTATATATTCACTGTATTTCCCACATGCACATAGGTGAAGATAAAGAGCAGCTTTTTAGGAGAGCAGACTTCACCAATTTCAATGGAAATAAAACCTAATACGGCATTTCACGTCTTCTCTCTAATGCCTTTTCTGTGTGGGTTACCTTAAGCATCAAACCAAGCAACACAGAAGCAGGCAGACTCACAAGGTTTCAAGGAGAGGTAGGAGATCAAGCCCCAGACATGAGCCAAAGCCCTCTGGCCTTGCTATTACCCAGGGTAGTCCCAAGCAGTTCTTCCATCCTTGCCATTGCAGGATAAAGGGGCCTGTGTGCCCAGAAGCATTTTTTTCACTGCTTGGGGAAGTGCTTTGTGTAGCAACAGGGCAGAAAACACGCTTTCACTAAGAAATGGGAGACTGTGTGAAACAACACTGGACGGATGTTCCTGCGACACCAAGTCTCGCATTGCTTTGCTGTCCCAAGAGGGGCTCCCTGTGAGCCGCATGGGGAAGCGGCTGTGCCTCCAAGACATCTGTCGCAAGCTTCTGCACAGAAGCCGGTGCCTACCTCCTGGTGCTCCGCCTCTGCTGGGCTAGAGGAGGAGACTGGACCTGCAGAAAAGCAGTCTGTCTCATTCAAGAGCTCTGCTGGTTACTACTGCCCTGCCATGACTGGCCTGAAGCACAGAGGAACACACACCCCCCATGCTACCGGTACATCTGGCCTCACCACATAGGCAGTCACCTATGCTAAAACTGCATTTCCTTGACTTGGAGAGGTCTGACAGGTTTTTCCTCTCCCAATTTGAGCTGCTGGGCAGCAATGCTTCTCAAAGTGGTGAGGGAGCGGGTGCAAAGACTGCAGTCTGCAGGGGACCCTGAAGTCGTTCATCCATCAGTCTTCCACACAAGGTGACCCTTTGGGAGGTGACTTGTTACTGCAGCCAAAGTCCTCTCACTGGAAGACTGTGAAGACCTGGTGGTTTCCAGATCTCTCCTGGAGGACTGTTTGAAGAGCCATGGAGAATTTTTATCATCTCCTTTCTAACAATTCTCTTGGCTGCCTTAGAAACTTGCCCTGGAAGGTCATGGACCCACTTTACTGTGCCAACCCCTGAGTTCAAGGGATGTGCTGGGACCTCAGGGGTGTCAGCAAAAGCCAGCCAGAGAAATGCTAAGACTCGTGCAGGCTCATGTTATCGCCATTGGATAGTCAGTGTAACTCACCACAGTTTCATTATGGAGACCCAGAGGTGACAGAAACGGGTGAAACGCTGCCAAGTTCAGTGGGAGTGTATGGCTTTTTGTGCCAGCAGTGAACATGATGGCCAAACCCTGAGGATTCAGCCACATTACGCACCCACAAGTGGAAATTCAGCTGTGTCTGTGCATGTTTTAAGGTTGACTCATAACAGGGTAAACAACTTTAGCAAATATATAATACTTAAGATAACTATGATATAGGCGGTTTGTTGCTTTGATAGCCATTTAAAAAACTGAATACATTAGAGAAACAGAAAAAATATACTAAATAGGCTATAATTTTTACTATGCAGCACTTCTCCCGGCTGGAGATATATCTTACTCTAGAGAGAAAAAGCTATCACTTTATCTTTAACAGGTATAAAATCTGAACCATTATGAGATCAACTAGCTACTCCCATTCTTAGGGGCTCTTTGTAGTCAGTTAAGTAAGTAGACTATGTGTGGTAAGCAGAAGAAAAAAGACAACTGAGTGCATTAAAATAATAATCTTTTCTGGAATGAGGATGCAGAAAGAGCAGCTAGGGCCATAAAGACCTCTGGAAAAGCCAAAAATACCCCAATCCTACTCAGGGGTGCAGGGCTTAATGGTGGCTTCTGGAGGAGCAGGCGCTGCTCACACACCCTCTGGCATCGGCAAAACCACGGGTAGGTCCAACCGAGCCACGTTAGCCTGTGTTTTGCAGCAGGATTTTCTTTCTCATACCCCTCACCTCCTGTCCTGTACCGCAGCACTGCCACTCCGCTCCCTCTGGCCGTGGTGACGGAGCACTGGTAGGTGCCGGCATCGGAGAGCTGCACGTCCCTCAGCTCCAGGGAAGCGTTGCCGCCGATCACCTGGTCTGCAAACACGGCCGTGCGGCCCTGAAACAACGCATCCTGCTCTTGCAGGTGGTCCTTCCCACCTTTAAACTCGTGAACCAGCCCGGCTACTCCCGCCTTGGCCCACCGGATCACTATGCTGCCCATCCGTATGTCAGGCTCAAAAGTGCAGCCCAGGACGCCGCGCTGGCCAATGTTCCCTGGAGACGTCAGTGCCGTCACGCTGATGGAGCGTTTTCCTGCGAGGAGAAAGCAAGGTGGCATGAGAAAGGTGAGGCAGTGAGCACAGAGAAAGGCCAGACCGCCCTGTAGCTGTAATGCACCAACCCCGAGGCTGAACGGGCGCTGGCACACTGCAAGGACACCAGTAGCAGCTACCAGTGCTGCTAGAAAAAGTCAACTCCCATGGCTTATATACCACGATAAAGCACAGGAGTATTTCTTTAGCAGGCAGTCTGCTTCAAAAAGTAGCTCCTCTTACATGTTTGAGAAGAATTCACCTGATGTTTTCTTGCTTACTTACATGTATCAGGGATTTTTCTCTTTGCAGCTGCCAGAAGAGCATGGATCTTTTCTTAGTTGGGACCTCCCTTTATGCAATATAAATGCGATTGCAAGGCGTAATGTTGGCAGAGAAATAAGAGGCTGCTCTTTCACCCTTACTGGAATCCAAACTGTTTTCTTTTGTTTAATAAAAATCAGCATTTCCCTTCCCTGGGGACACAGATCACTTCTCAAGTCAAATCCTAATCAGCGAGCCTGAGAATTAGCTCCTTCCCGGAGCCATGTCCTCTTTTCTGCGCAGCCCTTCCCTAAGTGTCCCAAGGAGGCTGCATTTTGGCCAACGCCAAAGCAACATATTTTTGTCTTCTCTGAGGGAGCAGGGGAATGTGCCCCATCCTGGCAGATGCTGCCCGACCTTGCAATAAATACCATCGCCTCCTCCTACCTGGGAGAAGGAGCACAGTACGTGCAGGACTTTCTGTATGTGTAGGTTTAGGGCTCCAAGCCCAAGGACATTTCAGCTGACACAGCACTACATCTCAAGCAACACAGGTTGTGCTACACTTAGTGACCCCTTGCCTCAGCTGGCTTCCCATGGAGCAACAGACAGAGTTGAACATTTCAGCTGCTAACACACCAGATAACTAAAAAAAAAACCAAAACAAAACAAAAAAGCCTTCATTTCTGCTGGGAAAGCATTCACTTCCCAGGGCAAAATGGAGCTGTGCCGTATTGCTCGGGCTCACACGTGCATAGCCGCTGCTGCAGGCTGGGGCCAGCCCCCTGACAAGTTTTCACAGAAATTGAGAGCCAACACAGATTTCCTCACTCAGCTCTGAGTGCCAAGTGCTGCTGTTTTCTAATCCTGAGCACGTGTGTGTAAATCTCTGCATTATTTAAAACCTACAAGAGCTCACAGTCTACAAGGAGAGCCATGGAGATTGGATTGGGTTGTGGTTTAATGCCATGGAGAGATACCTTGCTGAGAAAGGCGAGGACTGAAGTCACCAGTCGTAATTCAGCCTGCTGGTACATAAGCTTTATAAAGCGAGACTCTGTGAACAGGTCATAGGTGGCAACTTCCACACAAGATCACACCTCAGCCCATGCACAGGATGGAGACGCAGAGGCAGCGGCAGGGCAGAAGTTCATCGCCCCACTGGTAACACCAAGAAATCTGATCAGTCACATACCTGAGACGCCAAACCCGATGATCAGGGCAATCACCGCAGCCAGGATGAGAATGACTGTAGTCATGCTATTTGGGGAAAAAAGAAAGGACAACATTACTACACAGCCTACCTCCTTTCACACCCTACGCCTACGGTGCAGTCTGCAGAGCCACCATCAGGAAGGGAGGTCAAAGTGGGTAAGCCACAGACCTAGGGCAAGGTGGACCAGTGAAGCACATGACCACAGTAGAGTGACAAACATCAGGGTGAGCACTCGTCATCAAAGGCAGGGGACCACATGGCATGGAGACACGGAGACTCGGGTTTTGCCTTTGGAAGGAGGCAGTGGACCCCCATGGAGGATGCTCCTCTCAGCACCCCCTGGTGCATAAGCAAGCTGGGCAGTCCCTGCTGGCACTTGTGAGGGACCAGTTGCCCAGGGAGGTGAGCACAGCACTGAGATGGGCCTCTGACCCCAGGAGACATCCAGTATGAGCCCAGACAGTGGGCAGGAGGGGGCTGGAAACAAGGCCAGGTCTGTGAACTGGCTGGTTTGGGGATGCCCCATGTGCAGATGGGTAAGTGGCTGTCAAATGAGAAGCTGAGGAGAAGACCTGGAGAAGGAGGTCTTCTCAAGAGAAGGAGGTCCCTCAATACAAGGAGAAGACCTTGGCAGAAAAGCTGCCAAGCTGCCTCTCCCCATCTTGTTGGGCAGCCTCCCGCACGAGAGCCCATCGGTGTCCATACAACCACACCACTCCTCCCAACGTTAATCTGTGCCTACATCAGCCACTTGCACAATTGCGCCTCAGTCACCAGAGATGCCAGAATTACAGGGCTGACACAGAGCTCTAAGGATTTGCACCATGTGAACAAGCCCCTCCTGCAGGGAGCAGCAGGGACAGAAGAATGGGAAGATGGGTTGAAAGTGGGGATGGAGAGGAAGGGAGACATTGCAGAAGGCTTGTTTGTCCTCCCACTGTCTCCCTTCCATCCTCATCCTTAAAGCCAGCAGAAAGTTGTGTGAGGGAGTTCTGTCTGCGCATGCCAGCATGCTCAGGAGAAGGGATCAGAACTGTATATTTCATCACCAGTGTGCCATAAATCCATATAAAGGTTCACGTGAGTCCATCCATACCAAGCCCTCCCTGCCTAGATGCCCTCAGAGCTGGGAGGTGTCACACATTTGGCTTCCTCCCCATTCTCACCAGCTTTCACTCATGATGAGGATGGACAGCAGTTCTCTGCCTACCCCTGCCTGGTGCCCCGCAACTGCAGTCACAGCTGACCCCATTGGGGAGGAAAGTGTCAGATATCCTCCGTCCATGGGCGTTGGGCAGCCAGGGACCCATCACCAGCCACCAGCCTCCCCTGGGGACCTGCAAGTTTGGGACCTTGTTTGTTGGCTCATGCAGACCCTGCAGCGTGACAGCTCCCGGCAGCAACTTGTCATGTCCCACAGGGCTCAACTCCGAGTCACTCGGGGTCTCAGCCAGGTTCACTGTGGTACAACCCTGTGCTTTCCTGTTCCGGGGCAGATACCAAGCCTCTTGCGTACGCTGAATAGTATCTACCTCCTTGAGGAGCTCCACCAATTTCTACAGAGCTGATCCTCAAGTGAGATAGTTGCTATAAACTCAAGCCAAGGTTGCCATGATCAGCCTCAGCTCTCACGCCTGGGAAGCGCAGGCTTAGACATACACCTGGAGCAAGTGGCAGCCATGCTGTTTCACAGCAGCTGTGACTCACTCTCACGCCTCTAGATTAAAATCCTCCTTCCCAAGAGTGGGCAGGGAGAAATTGCTAGGAGCCATGGGATGCTGCCTGCAGGTTGCAG